TAATGAATGCACGTACAAATGTTTTTTATCATGCATAATAATCCATAAATTTCCAATGTTTCAATATGTTGCATTTACAATAAAAGTGTAGTTTCTAATGTATTTATAATTCAAAAAGTATTTCATTAATAACATGAAAATAATAGACAAATTTAAGGTGTATTCTCATTATTACATAAACTATGCTTTTCTATTTTTATGCATCTTTTATGCTGTTTAAAATGTGTCACTGATTATGCAATTAACAATTTCAAAGATAAGTAATTAGGAGAAAAGCCGCGCATATACAAACGGATTTTAAAAAATTATTGAACTTAAATTTAAGAAATAAAATTTTATTACATAACAGTGATAATACACGATCGGCACGAAATACGACAAATTTGGCGACGAACAATTTGTAAACAAATCCGAGCTGCAAGAACGTCGTAAAATACTGTCAACTCTGAAATTTCCACGATCATATATTTAATGAATATATAAATATTTTAAAAATGATTCAAGCAGTTATATTACAACGAAACAGCAATAATTAAATCGGCCTCTATTTCCACCGTCCATGACTTCACAGTGAGAGCCATCGCCATATTGAAAGTTACCCGTGATCCTTCAGAAGCAGAACTTTCGTCTGATTGGTTGAACGTAAGAGGAACACGTCTTCAGACGGAAAACCGGGGCAAAATCTAAATTTACCCGTCAATTACAGACCATTTACCGTGTTTATGCGAATCTAATGCGCATCGTTTTTGGCCAAATGTAGTACTCAAAATTGGGGTGCGTATTAGATTCGAGTGCAAAGTTCGCCGATGACGTCAACCGAATTTAAATCGTAACAATGGATTACTGTATTTCTCGATTACATTTATCGTGTCAAATATATGTACTTGGCTATGCAATGTATCCCGATCCAGTTGTTAGTCTTCTGAATTAAGTCGAATTCTGAATGCTTTACGCATTTCCCATGTATCAGTACTTCCAGTCACACACTGATGGCTATTGTATTCTTTTATTTTTATTTCTTTTGGTATATCCTCTGTGTATTGCTCTAATCATTTACATTCATTGTCACTATGTTCTCTGTTTTTATGTTATATTGTCATTAAGTCTAATTCTACTGTCTATATTTTTCTCATTGTATATTATTGGGCTGCCCAACATCAGGCTGTACTTTAGCCTATGTATATTCTATATTTGTGTGTATTACACCTTTGTAAAATTTTTGCTTATTGTCAAAACTCGCCCTTGTTTGGCCCTGTATGCTTTTGTTATTTTATTTAATAAATGTGGGGCCTGGGTGGTTGTTGGGACTGTCTTTCGTGGGCATTTGGTCTGTTGGACTGCCCCAGGTTTAAATTTGGCTCTGGGTTTGGACGCCCGGTGCGTGGCGTCTTATGATTCCGCTTTAGGCTCTAGATATAGGTGGACGTGGTGCTATACCGATTAACCTTTTGGTAAAGGGACAGTGCCCACGTCCTCCGTTGCTTATCGCTTATTGCATAGAGGATACAAACTGCAGAGTACGTAGTCACGAAATGGAGGGCAAGCAGAGAAGAATGTCATATGACGCTACTTTCAAACGTAAAGTAATTCTTTATCCTGAAAGAAATGGCAATAGAAAGGCTGGGAGAGGGTTAAACGTAGCTGAGAGCAATATTCGCTTGTGACGGCAACAGAAATTGGCACTGTTTGCAACTAAAACTAGTAGAAAGAAATTCACTGGCCCTCGCTAAGGAAGACACCCTAAAATTGAAGAAAACGTTTTGGAATTCGTACGTGAAAGGAGGAAGAATGGACAACCTGTGACTAGCGACACTATAAGAAATAAAGCAAAAGAGGAGGCTGAAGTTCGTGGAATACCGAAACCAGAGTTTAAAGCTAGCCGTGGATGGGTGGATCGGTTTATTAAGCGGATGGGCTTATCTCTAAGACGCCGTACAACAATATGCCAAAAGCTTCCTGCAGATTTTGAGGGAAAACTACTAACATTTTAGCGGTATGTCATCACACTTCGGAAGGAAAAGAATTTTTCAATGGGGCAAATTGGCAACGCTGACGAGACGCCAATTTGGTTTGATATGCCTCGTAACTACACCATTACGGAGAAGGGGACTAAAAACGTTATCATCAAAATAGTGAATAAAGACGTTTACTATTAATCACTGATTGTAGAAACTGTTAGCTAGATAGAAATGTTACGATTTATTTCATGTTCATACTTTACAATATGTACCGCATATACGGTAGTGGTAATTAACAATGATTGTTTCACATAACAATAGCCCACTAATAGGTTAATTCTATGTTCTGCTATTTATGTATAAATCCATTGTTGTATAAAATATGGTATCTAAATTTAAATAAAATTATCATACCATTGATTGATAGTTTATATACAAATCCATTGTTGTATAAAATAAGATTCAATAAATTCCTCATACCATTGATGCGCATTACATTCGCCGACAAAATTTTTTTTTATTATTTAAAGTTAAAATGGGGATGCGCATTAGATTCGATGGCGCATTAGATTCGCATAAATACGGTAATCTGCTTTCATCTCTCTCAAAGATATATGAATTTATCTCACCTAATCGCCTGAATGAATTCTGTCGAACTCAAAATTTAATCATCCCCGAGCAATTCGGCTTTCGACATAAACACTCCACTGTACACTAGTTATTACATGTAGTGGAATTCATTCATGAAGGCTCTCGTAAGCGAGAGAAAACTGGTATCGTCTATTTTGACGTGGCCAAAGCCTTTGATAGGGTTTGGTATGACGGACTAAGACTATTTACAAGCTCATGCGGCTTGGTTTTTCGACTCATTTCATTAAAATTATTAATTCGTACTTGACCGGACGAAATTTCCGAGTACGAATTCTCCACTCCCCGCCCGATCTATGCTGGATGTCCTCAGGTCAGTCTCATTGGGCTCTCAGTCTTCAATCTCTACGTTAATGATATTCCTAAGGCCTCTGGTATCGATCTAGCATTATATGCGGACGATACAGCCATCATCGCACAACATTCCAACACCTCCACGGTAATCTCTACATTACAGAGTTACCTTTCAGCCTTAGAACTCTGGCTCGGTTTGTATAAAATCAAAATTAATGTAGCAAAATGTGCTGCCACTCTGTTCATCCGAAGAGATATCCCACGTTTAGCTAACTTAATACTCTTCGATGAATCTATTCCCTGGATTTCTTCATATAAATATCTTGGTGTTTTACTTGATTCTAAATTAACCTGGCAACCTCACATTCAAAAAATTATTGCGAATGCGACGGCTGTCAAATCCAATCTGCGCCCCTTCTTCGCTTTAAATAGCGACCTGTCAACTGACAGCAAGATTTTGCTCTTCAAGTCTATCATCAGGCCTGTTCTGACTTACGCATGCCCTCTTTGGGCCCTTCAGCGCTGACTAACAGAAAACACGTCCAAATTTTTCAATCAAAAATGCTTCGGCAAATACTTAAAGCTCCGTGGTATATAAGAAACGAAGAGATTCATAATGATCTTAAAATTGTGCCCGTCAATCGCTTTATACAGCGACTTTCGGAAAACGTTTTCAAAAATATTCAACATGTTGCGAATCCTGTGCTGCATATGCTACCTGCTTATGATCCTGCAGTCGCTTCATCCAGGAAGAGATCGAGATCGGTTCTCAACCCGGATTATGCTGCTAACCCATTCAAACGGGCAAGGTATGGTCACACAGATTCCCATGTGAATAATTACCTCTCTTTCCTTTCCTTTCCCGCCTCTCGAGTTTTGAATGCTTAGGTCATTGACCGGAGGCACCCCTTTCTCGTTTCTTTAAAAAGAAGCTTCACAGTCACATATGACTGCTTTTAACTTATTTAATCTATGCTGGATGTCATCGACATACTCTTTACTTTCAAAAGCTCCTTCAACCCTATTAAAAGGGACTATAACTTGCTTTTAACATCCCCTAAGAGGTGTCAATCATTTGGCCTTTAAACACCGCACTGAATAGCGGGCGAAAAAGAAATTTCTCCCTCCGTCAGCTGACCACTGAAAACTCAGCAAATTTTTCGACGCGTAAGCGCGTTCCCCATCCCATTCGCAGGGAAAGCTCATTGACTTTTCCCTACGGACTCTTCGCTCTCTCCGCGTAGTTGACGGTTGACGTCGCATGATCAAGTATCAAGGAAACACCTGCTCTTATGTTCTAGTCTAAATTCATGAATGATGACTGCCCTTTTCTAAATTATTCTGGCCCTCATTTTGGTACAAAATTAAGACCTTCTGAGTTTTGCCTTTTTTCTCAGTGTGAAGGCACTTATTCCTAATGGCCTTTTCGGCTTATCAAAATTTTTACCGTATTAGAAAATCCCCTCTTTTGATGATAAATATTTTCTCTTTGGATGATGTGGAGTTCATATTATGGAGTTCATAGGCATAAACGCCTTTACCTGCGTTTATGCCTATGAACTCCATAATATGAACTTCCTTGATCCTTGATGTCTCCAGACGGAACATTTTCGGGAAAGTTTCAAAATGTTGCTCATAGCCGTGACATGTTCCTCCTAGCTAGACAAAACATTTCTCGGAAGCCTCCAGCTTAAAGCAGTGCTACTAGAATCTCGTTTCTCGGAACTGTCTCGCGTAATCTTCCGGCGTCCAGACTCACATCTTCTACCAGGGGTTTTGATTCATTTAGTAACGATTCCACAGCCTACTGATACACCACAATGCACGTTCAGCTCTCACGCAACAGCGGATTGTCTTGCACGAACTTGCAACATCCCGACAGCCCTCTATCGTCTCCGAGGAATATTAAAAATTATTGTAGATTTGAAACGCATAATTTGCATTATATGTTTTAAATATAACTTCTTTCATTGCTGCTGTGCATAGTGATTAATATAGTCCTTTCTATCCCTTTGTTTCCATTATTTTGCATTTCTATAAATGTTTCCTTCATTAATATATGCGTCAATTTACAGAATATTTGTTTTCTCTTCATAACAGCATCTTCCTGTGGAAAATTACCAGATATTGCCAATGGTATTTTAATTGCCAATTCTACAACCATCGGTAACACTGCTTGGTTGATATGCAACGAAGGCTACAGACCTCTCAGCAATGATGAAATTACTTGCTTAAGGACTGGAGAATGGACTAAGCCATACCCTCTGTGTGCACGTTCGTATATTCAAAAAATTAAATGCTTATAAAATTTGTTTCAATACAAATATTGAAACTAAGTTTCACTCAGCACGCGAAGTTCAGTTTTATCCAGTGCACGTGCATTCGCTTTAAATACTATAATTATATGAAATATAATATTTTAAAATCATTCATGAAAGGAAACTAAAAAATTGTATTAAACACAAAAGATTGCCTTAAAAATTCAGCAATGAAATCTGTTGATAAATTCATAAAATTCTAGCACTCACTTATTCAAGAGATTATCTATTAGTACCCTGGTTACATTAATTATTGAAGCGAGATATACATTTTTTAAATTTAGACATGCTATAAAAGAAATACTTTTGACGTATGCGTACGGTATAGCTAGTGTATGTTAAGAGGCCCACCAGCGGCCGAGCGGTAAAGTCGCTGAACGCTGGTAGTTCGATCCGAGGTTCGAATTCCGCTAACGGGCTGTCTGCATGGGCGTTTTCGTGGTTTTCCCCATGTGCAAAGTGTATACAAGCCAGTTCTCTTAGAAAGTCCTCCACGAAGGCATCGCTCCCCTTAGGCAGATAGCCCTAGTGTGCTTAAATAAACCAAACCATAAAAATAAGTCTACATTGTAGATTCTTCTAGGATGAAAGCATTCCAAATTATTGATGAGCAAACTTGTTCACAAACACGTGGAGCATCCAAAACGCTGTAGTATTTCATCATATATCCCAATAAGGTTTAATTTATTTGATTAAGACAAAACACTCGAGTGCTATCTGGCTTAAGGGGAGGGATGCCTTCGTGGAGACTTTCTAACGAATTCTGGCTCGTAAACACGTTATTCATAGAAAAACCTACAAAAACGCCCATGCAGCTAGTTCGCTTGCCAAGCTTCAAACCTCGGACCGAACTACCACTGCTCAGCGACTTTACCTATTCAGTGGTGGATTTTTCAGTAAGGACGAGATTGTATTTTTCGAATATACTAGAGTTAATTGATTTTGGGGAAAGATGCAATTGTAGAGGACTTTCTGGAGACAGCTGCCCTGTGTTTACATCACATTTGAGGTAAACAACAAACCCCCAGCTGCCAACCTGTTTAACCGACACGAATAGAAACCAAAGTACAAGCAGCGTTTTGCAAACTCTTATTACTAGGCCAGTGATCGTCTCCTCACAGGAAAAGGCTGAAATCGGAACAAAAACAGTCATGAGAAGTTGTGCATGTTTTTCTACACATGATTAAATTTCTTACCATTATAATGTAAAAAATTCAGGAAATGTCAGATTAACAGAACAATATGCCGTATTTCACGTAGATCTTAGTTTAGATCCGTTTGATGACACTTAACTTTTATGAATAAAAATGACAAATATCTGAATAGGTAAGAAGTTTTATATGCACTATAAACAACAGCTTATAGGTTACACTAGTCTTCTTAATTTTTAAATAGAAATAGAAGTACCTGAAAAGGAAAAATTTGCATTTAAAAATTTAAGATTTATTTAAAGATAATGACAGTAGAGAACCATTTTTATTCACCGTATATTTGAAACTGAAATTGAGATCTGATAAATCTTTTAAGAAAAACACCACTCATGGAGATAATGACATAATGAATAAACTATTAAGCTTATTATAATTTCCAAACTTTTACTTAAATACACATTTTTCATCAAAGAAAACGATAGATTTTAGCTTTATTTGTCACACCTGCAAAACAATTACTTTACACCATTTGTTTTTCAGGGATATTAAATTTACTGTACTTATGTATTATCCCGTCAACCATGAAAATCGACTAATCTAGAACCATAAAAGTTGAGACTGAAGTCCTGTCAATGGTACGCCTATTGTTTTTGCGGAATTCTCGAGGAACTGACTCCTCTTTATTTAATACACAATCAGTATCCTACTCGCTTCGTTTTTGCGTTTCATAAAAAAAAAAAAAAAACATTTCTTGATTTCTACTACTTTGTTAAGCTCTCCGATTTTACAGGAAAGCTATGAATACAAATTGTTTAGAATGCTATGAACACAAACTTCCTGCAGGTGATTGTTCCAATTTATTAACTACTTACTGTTCTACAGAACGCGGTTCTCAAGTTTTAACAATTTTTTTCAGAATGCCCAAAAAATTACAGCAGTAACAATAAATGTTATATTTGTTCATAAAAACAGAGCGGGATTCATTAAACGAAAGCGCAGATATTATGACTGTGTTGTTAAACCCTGCTTATCCATAACTGACGCTAAATCGCACTTCTTGGCGCCAGTTTCATGGTCGACCGGATACTAAGTAAGTACCAAATATACTAAATAGATATAAAATTTGCAAGAATTAGACGTTTTCAGAAAATGTCGAGGAATATTTTTTTTTTTTACTTTTCGGGTTTTAAAAAAACTATTAAAAACCTGCTTCAATACTGAGGAAAAAGATCCCAAGAAAGAAATCTTACCTTCCTTTACATTCATTTATTGTTAATTATTTATTTATTTATATTCATTTAATAAATTTTAAATTTTTCAGCGATTCAGTGTGATGACAAACCGAAAATTCCGCATGGCTCAGCAGTTCTGCTCACTTATTCTGCGTTCTACGGAAGCCCCTTGAAAATTGAATGTGATGAAGGATTTTTCCCTAAAGGAAATATTTCCCGAATGTGCGAACTGGATGGTACATGGGGCGACCTTGACATCTGTGTCGGTTAGTTTCATAAAACTTTAACTAATATATCTTTTGTAAATACTCAAGTTCTGTTCTACTCAAAATATAGTTCTTGGCATTATGCGTAAAGCGAAATAGGAATTCCTACTCCTTCTTAATTATTCAAAATCATGTAAAATTAGGCATTTACACACGGATTTCATATAAATCACAATCATATTCACCTCACAAATGCATACCTTTATAGTAAGTTTGAGTACTCGTATATCAGGAAGGTGGCATATCGATAAAGGTGGCATTTTTAAAAGTCATACTGTCTAAATCCAATAAACATTTATTAAAACTTAACAAACACAAAGCAAAATACGCTTTAAAATCTGCGCATGGCATGACATGACCTCATAGCATCAGCATTGCAAACTTTATACCTCATATTCGCTGGAACACCTGAGGGAAACATATGCTTTGAGGTCGCATACAGCTGCCTGACGCACACGCTAACAGTAATTAAAGTTAAAGAAAAAGAAAGTGAAATATTTTACCCTGTCCCATATGAACATAAAATTTTGTCAAATTTTTAGGGTTCTTCAAATATGTATGTTACGTTGGAAGCATGTGAGTTCTGAATGTCTTTGTGCACTCCCATCTCATCAAGCTATCGTTCATCAAGACAAAAATCAGCTTGATGCGTCTTGCACGAAACCTTTCTTGCTTTGGTTAAAGACACAGAGGTACTTTTCACACATATTTCAAAGTTTCATTAACGGACTGTTAATTTTTCAGTGTTCATTTGTAACACATATTTAAAAGTGATATAGCAATCTAAATTTTGGCACTTACATATTAGCGCAACCACTTTACTTGAAGTATTTAAATTCTCAGAATACGTCAAACTCTGGCAATCATGCGCATAATAGTTCTTCAATTTTGTAAATGATGTCACTATTTTCGCATGCGTTCCTTTTGTTACATTCAAAGCTCCTGTTTTTATACTTAAATTGTGGCAGTTTTAAAAAATGAGTTCTGAATGTGTGAGATATTTGCCTTCAGTGGAAGAAATCGTGGAATAAAGTGCGCAGGGATACTGTATTTTGCCTCAAAATTGCTAAAATGTCTTCTTTGGTTTGTTTTATTACGCAAAGCAAGCGAAATGTGCGTATGGGAGGGGATGCCTTCGTGGAGAGCCCCCTGAGAGAAACTGATTCGTATCAAGGTTACAAATACAGCCAACCCACTCGTCAGGATTTGAACCTGAGTCAACCTACCAATATTCATCAACTTTACCGCTCGGCCTTTGGTGAGCCATATTACTAAAAGGAGTATTTGCTTTGTTCTGAAAGCAATCATCACGAAATTTGGGTCAATAAAAGAATTATAATAAATGAACCTCCTATCAGTATATTTATTTATTGATTTTCAAAATAAATACAAAATTAAAACAATAAATTTGCATTGCGTTAATACGTGAGTACCAAAATTCTTCTTATGTAGTAGAATTAATATAAGTTTGATAGTTAAAATACGCTCTTTTAGTTTCGTAATGATTTGAAAAATGTTTCGCAGTTTGAATAAAGAACTGATTTCAGAATTCGAATTCATCAGAACATATAACAATGTTATTCGAGTCTGCTGTAAAATGACGAATATATGAAACAACAAAAACAAAACGGAATAACTACTTACGTCCTAGTACCGATGCCTCTGCAGTAACAATGCTCGATTTTCGATCTCATCTTTGAATCTGGAACAGCATTCAGCTTTCCCAATATTTTCCTCCCTTCTAAATGAACTTAAAATTCGCTCTGTTGTTGCTATGCTCTCAGCGGCAAAAGACATTCTAGACAGGGCTTAATTTCTAAAAGCAGAAGCCGGAGCCCTATGGAAGACCGTGAGGAAACAGGAACAAGAGTAAATAAATAAAATGACTTAAAATCATTGATAATTTTAAAATTAAATAGTTAATGAGTATTAAATTAATAGATAATTATTTAATTATATTAATAATTAATATTTATTAATCATTATGTAATTTATAATTAGTATTTAATTAATTTATAATTAATTAATTATTGTTTATTAAAACAATTAAAGTAATTAAATAATTAAAGTTAAATATACTATAAGAAATAAATTAAAATTCAAAAGCGATTTTTTATATAATTTTATTGCTGAAGTTAAAATTTTCGAGATCAAATTTCTAAATAATTGTTCAGTTACATAAAATAAGTACATAATACATAAAATAATAAACCGGAGCCTTCTTCTTTAAGACTCCGGTGCTCTCCGGTTAGAATTAAAATATCTCCCGAAAACTAAGAAGTATCGGAGCCGAGCTCCGGTGGGCTCGGGTGCAATTTAAGCTCTGATTCCAGAGTAATTAAAAAAAAAAAAAAAATCAAATGTTGTCTCAGCATTGCTCGTGTAAGTATAAGAAGCCACTCAGAGCACCCATGAAATATCTTGGACTGTTTCTCCACCCTGAGCTTCACAAACTTCAAAAATATATTTATTTTAAATTGTATTAATTATTTTGAATAGCCCCGTATTTACAGGCAGTAACGCTAGCGTAACTATTGTGATACTAACAACGTCTAATATTGAAGAAGACTATGAAATAATAAAATAATTTTGAAACACTACATAATTGCAATTAGGTTAAATTATGTTATTTTATATATTGGCTGGAATTAACAGGAGTATAAAAACTAATTTCAAAGTAATTAAAGCCCACCAGCGGCCGAGCGGTAAAGTCGCTAAACACTGGTAGTTCGGTCCGAGGTTCGAATCCCGCGAACGGGCTGGCTGCATGGGCGTTTTCGTGGTTTTCCCCATGTGTAACGTGTGTACGAGCCAGTTTCCCTTAGAAAGTCCTCCACGAAGGCATCCCTCCTCTTAGGCAGATAGCCCTAGTGTGCTTTGCTATAATTAAATACACCACACCAAAGTAATTAAAACTTAATACAGCATAAGAATGAATTAACAGATTATTAGAAACAACATGTATTCCCTTTGAAATCATGCATTTTCTCATTTCGTCTATACGCTAGTTCAAATGCCAAGAATTAGCTGCTGATATTTCCTGTAAATATTTTATGTGTATATTTAATTATAAAAACTTGAACTTTTTAAATTCTTCTTTTTTGTCATTTAATAAACTTTCTATTGTGTTTTTATATTCTCAGAAAGCCACATTTTTTATATATTTGTATTTAGAAATCACGTGCCTGTCACACAACGATAATGAAATGACAAATGGCGAATGGCTGCAGCTGAATAATTCTAAATCTATAAAAGTTCTGATGTGTCAACAAGGATACTACATAGAAGGATCTCCTGCCATTACCCAATGCTTGCCAAATGGATCTTGGAGTTATACTACAGCTGTTTGTAGAAGTATGTAACTTAAATTGCAATCATGTTATTAGATATAAAGCAGTGACTATAGAACTAAAATATTCCTCATTAACATCGTTATAAAACTACTGATTCAAAATTGAATCCATTTTTTTATCTTGTTGGTCAACTTGCAATGTAAAATTGAACTACTTATGTGAGTTAAAATTAATAATTATCAGTTTTTACTGAACTTTGTCGGAAAAAAAAATAAATACACCTTCAGTTTTCAGCTATGTTTTAATAACAAGACGCAATCTTTTATGTATTGTATTCCTGTATTTTTATTCTAAAACATTACACGATCACTTAAATGTTTCTACTTTAAGACCTTTAACCAATAGAAACTTCTAAGTAGTTAATAATATCATCACCTACCTAAGAGACTCTCCTACGTTTCCTATCAATAATCCTTTAAAACATAAAATACACACATATCAGAAAAAGATCTACACCACTGACTTTTCCAGAAAATGCGAAACATGAAGATAAAGGTGAGTAATGAAGAAAGGGGCATTTGCTATTAACCCGTCTGCTGCCCAAGTAACGCGATTTAGCGCCATTTATGGATGACCGTGTTCTTAAGAACTCCGAATGGCGGCCATTGCCGAAATTTCCACCAAAGATACGTAAGTACCAAAAAATAATACGTAACGACGGGATAATACGTAAGTACCAAAAAAAACAAAATAATATCATTGTGTAAAATAGTTTCAAAAACGTGCCCATAGAGATTTTTTTTAAAATAGGAATTTTTTAAATTTTAAGTAAACCTATTAAAATCGAATATGCGCTATTATATTATTTGCCTTCAGTATCCCGTAAAAGTTTCCTGTAGATCAAACAAATCTGAACACTTCTTGGCATGTTCTGCATCATATTATTCAGAAGGATTTGGCACAATAATTTGCGTCTTTATACAACAACTCTACGGAGTTCCTTCAGTGTATACGCTGGTGGTAAATGACGTTTGCCAGCTTTCTTGGGTTCCAAATATATTTTATGGTCTCCATATCCAGAAAACATGGTGGCTAGTCTACACGAGCAGTGTTGCTCTGCTAGAGTTAAATTGCTCATAAGACGTGCTGTGACCTTACTGTAAAGGAAATATGTTGCTGTAAATCAGCAAATTGTTACCATTCTGCATAACATGTTTATTATTATTCTTTTTAATTTATTCTAAGCTCCACTATGTGATATGATATTTCATAGAACGCATATGTCCTCTCATCAGTCACATTTTAAGACCACATATGATTTCGCTCCAAAATGTGACTAAAACACATCCCTGCTTTTGAATTACTAAAGTTTTTAAACTTTGACATGTTATTAAAGTTGTCAAGCGATTTTGTGCAACCGTTGACTTGTTAGTTATCCGGTCTCATATGAATTTTTTTCACTGATAAGAAAGGTCTTCTAACAAACCCTCATTTTTTTTTTTTTTTTTTTTTTTTTTTTCCCAGAAGGTATATATGGATCTACTGATCTAGAAACACATAATAGTAAAAATACTATCTTTTGAAATTCTATAGATAATCAGAAAAAAAAAATTAAAACAGAGTTTTTTATGGCCAAAGGCGCACTTTCTCACGAATTATTTCACCAATGACCAACTTTCTAACAAAATTTAAAAATTCCCTGAAATCTTCAAAAACGTACTGCATCGCCAAATGTAGTAGATTTTCAAACTTTCAGTTTTCAGTTCACATTGATTTAGCAACTAATTTTGAATAATATTATACCCTTCTAAGTAAACAAAAGCATTTCCTTTCGGTACTATTCCCTTTTGAGGACCGTAAAAAAATTGCCGCGAAAATGTATGTGCAAAAGCGCCAAATCTAGCAAACGCGCTTATTTAACAGCACGCCAAATCTAGCGTACGCGCTGATTTCAGATTGCGTAAATTTATATAGTTCTATATTTCTTAAGACGCCATTGAAATACTGGTTTAATTTTTAAATCCTTGTCTGATATCCTATGGATTTAACAATTTGGGAATTGCCCATAACGAAAAGTCTGCAATAGAATTTTGGGTAAAGTACAGAATCACACACTGCTTGACGCGTTAAGAATTAATTGCACATACTCGGTATCCATGTACACATCGGTCTATTTTCACTTAAAAAAAATCCCAGAATTGCACAAAAATGGCACTGCGCAGACCCTTAACTTTATCTATGTACAAATCGACCTAGGCATCATTCATTATCGAAAATTATGTTTGAACAACCAAAGAGATGAAATTATGCTTTAGCGATAACTCGGTAGCGAAATAGCGATGCAGGCATCCATTCAGTTATGTTTAGCAATTTTTATATAAATCATAATAATGATCTTAAATAGTTATTTACTCTTATCCTTCGATCAGTCATGTTTAGCCTTATTTATATAAATTATAATTATAAAAAAGTATTATATGAAATTAACCTTTCATCTAAATTAAAACTCAATCTTAGATAGTTATTTGCTATTATACTTCCTTTCTTGCATTAGGGTTGCCGCAATTATTTTTGGCAGCACTGGCATCAACAATAGTTTGGCGATTTTTTACGGCCATCAAAACCTAATAGTACTTTCTTTCTTTCTCTCTTTTCCTTTTTTTTTTTCCAATGTGTTATACATATTCCAAAAGAAATCAGTAAAATTAACTGCTAATTCCTATAGACGTAGCAAAAGTAAAGAAACAGGGAGAAAAATAACATTTTTAGTCACCAAAAGGCAGACCTTTAACTCGGGATTACCTGCGAACTATAAAAATTTTATAAACTATATTTTTCAAAATTACTGTATAATGCTATCTTTTCAGATATTCCAGAAATAAATTGGAAGTATAATTCACGTATATAAAATACAACAGGTATATAAAGTGATATACATATATATCACGTGTATATAATATAATATAATTATTCAAATTTATTAATTAAGCATTTCTTTTATATTTAATCTGACAAATTCTTTGCTCCTGTTTAGTGACAATATTTTTTCAGCTTCACGATTTTATATTTTGTTGACTTATATATTTAATTCCTATAATAAATGCACTGCATTTTAAACAATAATAAATAATTGTAATTTCAATGATAAATTAAGTAAAACTGTAACTTCCTTGTTAAAGAGATCACCGCAAGCGCTTTGGCGAAAATTAGAAAACACTTTGGCAATATTCAAAAAAGGAAAATCCACAGTATTATAATATAATACATATATTGCTTAAAGTGTGCAATGCCGGATTTGTAAAATTCTGTGATTTCTTAAGCGAAAAGAGCTGCGTACATGGGAGAACTTCCTGTAGCAATCTTGCTTTTAAGCGAGAAGAAAGGAGATGAGGACTTCGGCAAACGCTGTTTCTTCCAGTCCGTAAGGCTTGGTAAGTTACGAATACTTATTTACACATGGGAGAACCAAATGCCTTTTTTTTTTTCCCCTTCCTTCATGCTGCCACCACAAAATCATTTATTCGCAAACATTACCAACAAATATATCAAAAGAAAGCAAATGAAATAAATTTGAATTCTTAAATAAGGATTACACGATATATTAAACATTATATATAATCTATTATATGATATATTATATTGTTTTTCCCATGTACACCATAATCTGTTTTCGCTTAAAAAACATGGGGGGGGGGTGCACAAGTTCGGCACTGTGCACATTAAAAATTACATATACTATATTATATTAAAATTTAAACAAATTTAGATTCTAAACAAATACGTATAAAAGTAAAAAAGTAGAAAAGCAAATTTAAATTCTAAAAAAAAGGAAAAAAGCCAAAATAATTTAAAATAATTTTTAAAATGTAAACATGTAAAAGATTTAATTCTCGAACTAATCTACAATATCATTTAAATTCAGAAGCATAAGTAAATCAAGTGTAAAATCTATCCATGAAAATAAATCTACTAATTTAATAAATTAAAATTAAATTAAACAATTTTTTTAAAAAATGCATATGTGACTATATTATATTATATATTGCTGTTATTCCAAGTTTACTTTTATTTTTATTACAAGTTACTGGTATTTTAAGTTTGCCAATTCTTCAGATAAATCTTCCGATTTTGGTGACGGACCGAGGGAGCCGCTTAAAAAGAAAGTACCATAAAGTTCTATTCTAAATAAATAAAATTCCTGCTTGTTATTTTCAATTACAATTGAAATTGAATGGTTATTTTCAATTTTAATAAATGAATGTCATACAGGAATCTAGTAGATGCATTGAATCCAAATTCGTAACTTTTGCGTTGCGCCCGACAGAGGGTTAAGAATTCTTTTCTGTCTATAAACTTATTAGCTGAAATGAATATTTGCACAAAGTTTGCCTTGCAAACATTGTAGTCTGTTCATTGAAGTTAATCATAACCAAATTTTTTGCTCTTTATTTATGTCATCTTAATTCCTATAATAAATGCATCTTAAGATGACATAAATAAAGAGCAAAAAATTTGGTTATGATTAACTTCAATGAACAGACTACAATGTTTGCAAGGCAAACTTTGTGCAACTATAAACATGTATAACCATGTTTAGTTAAATGCAGATGCTCCACCAATAACTGAGAGATTAAGACCTGTGAATATAGATAATTTGATATGGGTTCGAATCACGGAAGAAGGAATAGAAGGAGGCGCATTCCTTCTTCCACGGCTAACGCAGTGCTGCCGAGCTTTGATGAACAAGGAAGTTCTGTTTACGTCAAAGTTTACCTTGACAGTGGTTTAGCGGGAGAATCCGCACAAATCGAAAAGCAGAGCTGTTTCCGCAAAAGAAACATTCATTGCTGGATGGGTAATAGCAGTCTATATGGTGGATTCGAGTTGCTTGCAGTTCAAACGTTCTATAACTATACAAACTGCATTTTCACACATACACACTTTAAAGCTCAATTGCCTTATAACTAACTGGTATAAGCGGGAAAATTTGTATACTTCTTAAGGATGCCCTTAATAATGAATTTGCTACTTTTATTTTATGTTATATACATATGGAAATATTTTAATTAAAATACATTTTTGTCATCCGCATACTATTGTAATACCCACTGTGTCCAGCATTATGGATAAACAAATAATTGTTTTTATTTATTTATTTTTCTTTTCTTTCTTTTTCTCCCCTTCCCCCCCCCAAAAAAAACTGAAAAATAATGCATAGTTAAAAAAAACATGCGATAAAAATTTTAAAATATATGTTTTCTTAAGAAATAAATTGAAAAACAATTTTGAGACTC